CGGATTGTGCAGACCTGACGTGAATTCTGTGATGAGCACGAGAACGTGATAGAGAAGTCTCCGTGTCACCTTGTGTGAAATGTAACACTGAAAGATGTGTTCTGATGTCTCTTCTTGCAAGAGCGTGCGTTCATGTTAGCGTAGTGACTTGCTGATCATTCTTAAGATCTGTTCTTTTGAACTGGTTTTCTGGAGGTCGCTTGTTTCAGACTAATGCTCTTCGCTTAAAACGATTATAGTGCTATACGTGATTTCGTCGGACTCGGCAAGCTTCATATTACGCGGAAGAACAGCAGGCACCGAAGAACAAATGAAAGTCATTAAGCTTGACGTGCCGTTCACAACTCTCACGAGAGAAGGAGGCACACGTACATTTTCTTCACGCAACCCATCCCATGTGGTTGAATTTGCGCATCAAACGATAAAAGGTCGGCAACAGCAAGGTTAACAGGAACACGGGATAAAGACCACGGCGCTAAAAGAGAATCATTCGACACGACGATACAGTTTTTCTCCGGTAAAGATGTCTCAGTAAGCGTAGACAAAAACACGTTATTCACTGTAATTTCGCTTGTGCCACAATTAACAGCAGCACTTCATTCCTGAAGAAAATCGATCCCGAGAATCACATTATGAGTGCACCACGGTAATACCAAAATTATGTGACGAGATATTCAGCAACAAACAAACCACTTGCAACACAAATACCTAGAGGAACGAGGCACTCTCCGCTGACACCACGAAACGTCATACAACCATTCCACGGGAACATAAACTTCCGACCAAGCATTTCCTTGAATGTGGCACTCATGACGGAAACCGTAGCATCAGTACCAACTAACGCAGTTGTAGGCACACATACACTTTTGTTTGGGAAAACGAGCCGTTTGCAGAGATAGAGACCGGCCAGCGACCTTACCTCCATTGGCCGCGCAGGCTGTTTTCCCGATGGAGGCGGTGGTGTAGAACGTCACCGTGGTGATGTTGAACGGCGTAAGCGACTGGTTGGTGGCGTCAGTCTGCGGTCTGATGCTGGCGAGTCAATCCTTCAGTTGGAATGGCGGAAGGAATTCCTGGGTGGTGAGCCTGTAGGGTTTGTTGCGCGATGTTCTGCCGCCCAATGATCATCGTTGACGTCTTCGAAGTTAGGCCAAGTCGGCGGTGGGCAATACCTCGTCTGGCGGCGACGCGACAAAATCGAGAGATGTGTTCTATCGCACCGCAGCTGTAGCAAACAGGTGAAGTGTGACTGACGTTGAAAACTTCGCGATAAGGCGCCCTCGGACGCTGCTAGTAGTAGATACGATCTTCAAAGTGCCGATTCGTGGTCGTACCCCGATAAGCGCGTCGGTCTTGCGTCACGTCGTCAGGAAACGTATGGTGGTGCTGTTGTGGGGGGTCGGTTCGACTATTTGCAACGCCCTGCATGGCCGATAGCGAAGAAACCACCGGTGCAGCTTCGTGACGTTGATTAAAAACGCAACCGAACTGTTCAGCCTTCACAGCGTTTATTGATTTGCAGTGTCGCTTGAGTTCCTCACGAACGATTTGTCTCACAGTGGCCGCAAGGTCCCAATGGATACTGTAGCTGTCCTCAATGCCTGCGACTGTGACAACATTCGTCAACCTGCCAAACTATGGCGTGATACCGTGTAGCTTCAAGGTCTCAAATGTGCGGCAATGATTGATCAAGTCAGGTACCAAATTGATACTCTCTATGCCAATCAAGTAGGTATACTTGTCTTCGGCAATACCTTTCAGAAGATGCCCGACTTTGTACTCTTCGGAGATACGAGGATTAGCCGTCTTACACATCTTCAAGATCGTCTCAATGTACGTGGTACAAGTGTCACCTGGCACTTGAGCACGCTGAAGTAATGTCTATTTATTTATTATTTATTTAGTACCCACAGCGCCAGAGGCATTACAGTGGGGGAGGGGTTTACAGTCAGTCTGGACAGTTCAATATTTTGTCGTATATAAAGCGTGGAAAACGGTAATAGCAACAACAACAGCTACAGCAGATCGACAACATAAGTTATTCACAGCAGTATGCAGTATATGTGAGAAACAAGAACACTACAAGGTTGAGTCACTTCAACAGGAAAATAAGTGATTTGATACCGGAGTACAGCCACAGTTCCCTTCTGCATACAGTGTGAGGACAAAAGAAAGAAGAACAAAAGATAAGAACAGTAATACATACAGTACGTCCTAAAAAGATCAAAGAAACAATCATTTCAGCAGGGCAAAAAACATCTCATTCGAAACTACGTTGACGATGTCAGCAGGTAACCTATTCCAGTCGTGGATTGTTTTTGGAAAGAAAGATTTCTTAAAAAGTTCCGTGCGGCATAGAACCTCTCTTACTTTTCGGTCATGGTCCACGCGTTGGGACCTATAGTTAGGCGGTATTACATATATGTCTCTCTGTATGTTAATCGTACCATAGTAAATGGAATGAAAAAGCTTCAGGCGCAGCTTTCTGCGTCGTTCTACCAGGGAATCCCATTTGAGTTCTTCCTTAGTTCTTGTTGCACTGAAATTAATTGTGTATTGACGGGACACGTACCTCGCACCGAGATTCTGAACTCTTGCAAGTTTAATAACGTCGCGCGCCGTCGTAGGGTCCCACACTACACAAGCGTACTCGAGGACGGACCTCACGTACGTCTTGTAGAGTAGCTCACGTGTGGACTGACTGAATGCACCAGAGTTCCTGCGAATGAAGCCCAGCATTTTTCCCGCCTTTCCGGTTACGTAGTCAACCTGCTTCTGCCACGATAATTCTGGGGTATACCAAACACCTAAGTATTTAAATTCGGTTACTTTACTAATTACAATGTTATTCAGGGTGTAGCAGTAATTTAGAGGGTTCTTCTTTCGAGTGAATGTCATATTGACAGTTTTCGTGAGGTTTAGCTGCATGCGCCACCTAGTGCACCATGTGCTGATTCGATCGAGGTCTTGCTGAATCAGGTTGAGCTCTTCCGTACCGTTAGTGATCCTATAAACCACACAGTCATCAGCAAACAGCCTCAACTGCGATGTCCAACCGTCGCCAATATCATTGATGTACAATAAGAACAGCAAAGGTCCCAGGACGGAGCCCTGGGGTACACCAGATGAAACGCTTTGTGCCCGTGACCGAACCCCATTTACAACCACGAATTGCCGGCGTAACGTTAGATATTCTTTAATCCATGAGACAACCGCCGGATTTATTTTATATGTGAGCATATTTTCAATGAGTAATGAATGGGGTACTGTGTCGAAAGCTTTCCTGAAATCGAGGAAAATACATTCAACCGCAAGCCGTTTATCTAATGCAGAAGCAATATCATTTGTGAATTCCAATAATTGGGTAACACAGGAAAAACCTTTACGAAATCCATGTTGGGCTGACGTAATCGCAGAATGAGTATTCAAGTGAGCTACAATACTCGTGAATAGAATGTGCTCCATTATTTTACATGCAACGGATGTCAGCGATATCGGGCGGTAGTTTGAAACGTCGCTTCTAGGGCCGGACTTATGAATAGGGACCACAATACCTGCTTTCCAATCATCAGGAAGAGAAGCTTCGAGTAGTGACATATCAAATATAACTTTCAAGTACTTTGCTATCGATTCAGCGCATGATTTAAGCAGGAAATTGGGTAAGTCGTCAGGACCACACGCTTTAGAAGAGTCGAGCCTTCGAAGCAACGATTCAATGCCGTGTGTACATATGACATCATCCATGTCGCTTATCGTTTCAAGTACCAGTGGGACGTCTTCAGAAGGCATTACTGCAGGAGTGAAGACGGAGCAGAAGTAGGCGTTAAAGCATTCTGCCTTGTCAGCGTCTTCGCGAACAATGACGTCACCAGACACGAGTGGAGGGATAGTTACAACATCCCTGCCATTCTGCTTCACGTGCTTCCAGAACACTTTCGGTTTATCTTTTAGTCTTGTTTGAATAGTTCCCGAATAACTGTCTTTGGCAATGCGCGTTGCTTCTTTAACTTAACGAGTTATTTCTTTCAGTTTTTTCTCTGTCTCTTTTGAAGGTTTTCTGCAATAAGCGCGATAAGTTCGTTGTCTTTTTTGTGTGAACTGGCGCAAGGTTTTCGTAAACCAAGGCTTGCTTCTACCCTGTCTCGCCGTCAACACCCAAGTTGGGACGAACAGCTCACGTAATTCGAGTATTTTCTGCTTAAATAACCGCCACAGCCCGTCCACACTCCTACACTCGGCTTCCGTTTCGAACACTACTAAATAAGCCTGTAATGCTTGATTTATACAATCGAAATTGGCTTTTTTATAATTGTACAGTTTTCTGTTAGCATGGTTTTTTGTTTTAACATAGGCCAGCGACATCGTCGACACGACAGCGTGATGGTCGCTTATGCCAGGAATCACAAGCGTTGACTGAACAAGTTCTGGTCGATTGGTAAGCAGAAGGTCTAAAATGTTGTTTCCCCGCGTTGGGGTGAGGACTAGCTGATGCAGAGCATGCAGGTTGACCATGTTCATCATTTCTGTATTGCATATTCCAGTAACTGTGGCGGTGTTCGATGCATCCCATTTCAAGTCCGGTAAATTGAAGTCTCCCCCAATGACCACGGTATCTGAGTGAACTTCATCAATCGCACTTTGAAGTCGAGTGAGAACATCCGGCGATGCATTAGGGGGACGATAAAAGCTACATACTGTTAAGGCGATGCGGTTCGGAAGTTCTAGTTTGCACAACACTACTTCACTCACGCCAGCATCAACGTCAATCTGGGAGGACCTAATGCTACTATCAATGAGAATGAACACACCCCCTCCATGACCGTTCCTGTCTTTTCTGTAGCAGGTGTAACCAGTTGGAAATACCTCGTGGTCACCAATATCAGGATCTAACCAGGATTCCGTACCGAGAATCACGGAAGGCTTAACAGTTTCTACTAAAATTCATCTCTCTTAATCTTTATGCTCCTGCAATTCAGCAGAAGAATACTAATGTTCACAGAACTAGACTGGCACGGTCACTTCTGTGGGGTCACATGCATTGTTGCATCATCGCAGACAAACTTCTGCCCGTTCAAAAGAAGGTAATCGTACCTAAGCATAGCTTTCGCGCCATCCTGTTTTTGTGCTTTTGCATATTCCCACAAAATTTTTCTTTTCTTTCGTACTGCTTCGGAGAAATCTTCGGAAATGCTAGTCGTAGTGCCTTTTAACTTTCTTGCGTTGCTTAGGACATGCTGTTTTTCTTTGAAAGATGAAAATTTTGCGATGATGGGTCTGCTCCTCCCAGCTCGAAAACGTCCCAACCGATGTGCCCTTTCTATTCCTATAGTGGGTATTCCTAACTTCGAAGAACAGATATCCAAGATCTGTTTCTCACACTCCGCATTTGTTTCGTTGGCTCCTTCGTCGGGTATACCGTGAAAGATGAGGTTGCACCTTCTGCTGCGGTTTTCAAGGTCGTCAACCTTTGACGTTAGAGACTTCAACACTCGTGCTTGAGTCTCACATTGTACAACGCACTCTGCTAAAGACGATTTCATTTCATCAAGGTTTGTGAACTTAGTTTCAAGGGATTTGATACGATCACCTAGATCGTTTATAGCGAGCTTGTTTGCAGCTTGAACGGTTTCAATAGCATTTAGTTTATCCTTAATTATGCTTTGACCTGCTAAGAGCTGCTGCAGTGTCGCCTCGGTGGACGGTCCCGGATTCACCTCTACGTCGCCACATATTAGCAGAAGTAAAAAATAAAAAGAGAAGCGACGCAGCAAGTGAAACTGTTTCCGCGAACGGTATTGCGTGCATGAATGTGACAGAATGCAATCAAACAACTTTTTGGGTGAAACCGGCAAGAAAAAGGGGAGCAAGAAAGGGGGTTCCGTATGACTAACCTGCATAAGCAGTAGGAACAGCGTGAAGCGTACTGCTGCAGCCATGCCGGTTTCACGCCCCACTGACGCACTGAAGAGTCCCGCTTTATGAAGCTGAGCGTTATCGTCGAGCCGGTAATCACTCAGATTTTCACTGGCAGGAATCGCACATGCGCCGGATACTGGAACGTCTGGTGGCGTCATCCCGCTGTCGTCATCAGGTGCTACGTTGGTTTTAAGGGTTGTTCCTCGTAGTCCTTGCGTTGTGGCTCCTTCCGGTGGAAGAAACGCTGCAACTTTCCTGGGACACTGTCTTGCAGAAGCGCCGTTAACCTGCATAAGCAGTAGGAACAGCGTGAAGCGTACTGCTGCAGCCATGCCGGTTTCACGCCCCACTGACGCACTGAAGAGTCCCGCTTTATGAAGCTGAGCGTTATCGTCGAGCCGGTAATCACTCAGATTTTCACTGGCAGGAATCGCACATGCGCCGGATACCGGAACGTCTGGTGGCGTCATCCCGCTGTCGTCATCAGGTGCTACGTTGGTTTTAAGGGTTGTTCCTCGTAGTCCTTGCGTTGTGGCTCCTTCCGGTGGAAGAAACGCTGCGGCTTTCCTGGGACACTGTCTTGCAGAAGCGCCGTTAACCTGCATAAGCAGTAGGAACAGCGTGAAGCGTATTGCTGCAGCCATGCCGGTTTCACGCCCCTGCTCGACTCGCTTTCTTTTTAGCCATTATAGAGAGATAATCACCGATTACCGGGACTTCCACCGCCGTTTTCATCCGCCCTGCAGAGTGCTTAGCAAGGCGGACAATATATTTCTTCTCTGGCTATTTACCAATACTTTACTGTACACTGAGTGTATAAAGACTTTGGCTCTTCCTTTTCCGGCATCTACCAGCACTATGCGAAGGTGGCCTGAACACCTTCCATATAGTATTGCCATGCCAGCTCAATCCCCCTTTACCCCTCAACTCTAATCCAGCAAGAAAGGACTGGAAGGCAACCTTGCTCGGTTTCCAGGACCTTGTGGCCCGACGAGCCATGATCCAGCGTGCCAGGACAGCGGCCACGACCAATGGGGTCCCTTACTAGGGACTCCCCCTACTATTGCAGGGAGGCTGACCCACTAGAGGCTGGTCTCCCTAGCAACGTCTGTTTGTTTTCAAATAAATGTTTACTACCACTGCAACATTAGCAGAGGATACCCCGAAGCACTCTGTGAGTTTGATAGCGAAGTGACCACAGGCTTTTAGCGACTCTTTGTGGTTCTCGAACCACACAAGAGCAGCGTTTGTCAGGAAGAGAGCAACACACTCTAGCATAGCCCAGCTCAGCTAGAGTATCCCAGCGGTTGCACTTGCTCACACGTTTGTATTGTGTGAGCCATTCTTCCACGTCCTCGCCGGGTTTTCGTGAGAAAGGGCACGGCTCCAACTGACACAAACAGGCACCGAGTGTCCGCGCCGGAGGAGTTGAAGATGACTGTAGGTCACCGTTGTTCGACATCGCGAGTTCCAGTAGTGTTGGTGGCCGTCGCGCGAGGCGTTGGCTTCAGCGAGGAACTAGCGGCAGTGGCTCTGTCGACTTCGGTGATTACCCGTCACCTCCACCACAAAACTGGTGCGGTTAAAGCCGAAGGGTCTTTATTAGCAGGGCGAGGTTGATGGTCTGGTAATATTATGATTGAGAGAGCTATTGAAACATGCATTCGTTCAGTCATTGAGAAGCTCGCGCTCAGTGAAACGCTTTCTTTTGGAGATGTCTTAACTACCTCGTCAGTAAACACACCCACTTTACTGTCTTCTTCAACAGTACCGTCAAAGTCGTCAATCATGCAGCATAGCTCCGCTCCTCGATTGCAGAGATAACCAAGTCGTCGTCGGGATGACAGAGAAGACACTCTGACCGTGATGTTCTGGAACTGTTGTTTGATTGAAAAAAAGCAGACATGATGTTACGATGGGGCTTATCGCATACAATAAAAAACCCGCTGTTCTCGCTTTTCATGCGATCAACTGTCCTATTAGGCGCTTACCAGGTTACGAAGTCCATGGCTCCTCCAAAGACGCTGATACGTCTGCATGTGCAGTGATGTACGTAGATAGAATACTCACCCACACGCATCTTGACACTGGGTCTTGGTGTTCAGGAAATGCATATGTCACGAGATGTCGGAATCAGTTCACACCCAAATTAATTATTCTAGTGTTTTTTGTGTATATGCATTCAGAACTCTCAAGACAGCAGGCCGAGCGTGGCTTGACAAAGTCGAGCTACATTCAGCCTTTTCAGAGCGTCTACTCAGAGGACACCAGTCTATTATATAGAGATTTCGATGCTCAACATGTTGAGTGGAAGTATATGAAGGGCAGCCCACGAGGTCATTGTCTAATGGAAGATTTTTATCGTTACAAATTAACCCTCCTGAATTACAGGAAACGAATACTAGTCTCGGACAAGACGCAAGGCAAGCAGACACAATGCCCGCCTTGACGGGTTCTCCAAACTTTGATCATGTCACTGGAAGCTTCTTGAAGTGCCTCTAGGTAGCGACTATCTTCGTATTGCCATCACAGCGAAAACCGGTAGAGTGTCGGGCCGCAACTCATTTCACAAGGAGAGTGCTTTATACGCATTAAGATATTTATCACATGCCACTGCAAAAAATCACTCCAATTACCGACCTTCACTCTCTAACAAAGGCTTTGAGGCATGCCAAGCACGTAGCAGGAATGACGTTGTGAGTAGCTGATAATAATCCGTACCAAACAGGAACATCCTGCATTTATGGAATCGCAGACGTCATCTCTTGTGAAAATGCCATGTGGACGGACGCGCGCAAGCACTAAGAAGCCAATCCCTGTTCGTACAAAAAGAAATTGAGACGTATACTAGGGAGTAAAGTCTGCGTATCTTCTCCTATTGCGCGGATGATAGGTGGCAATTCACATAAACTGTGCTAGCCAATGAGGTGTCACATTCGGTGGCAATAGCAATTGAATTGGTCTTTTTGATTCGTTTACCCGATTTCGCACTTGTTTATCACGCGGAATTACCTGCAATTCTCTTGGCGTTACGAAAATTACCTCAATCAATAACAGATGCTACTATTCTTTCAGAATACTTGTCTGGGTGTAGTTCGTTAGCTGCACCTAATATGTTCAATGTTTAAAAGTAATTTAGCCCTTGCCCCAAGACATTTACGACTCATTCGCTTGGTGTGAATACCAGCGCATGAAAGTTCAACCCTCAATAAATATGCAGATGCACTCGCAGTGGCCTCAGATCATTATGCTATTATTTCCAAATTGCCGACGCTAATATTTATCACCGTGACACGCTTTGTAAAATATGTCATATCAGATCAATTTGAAAATTCTCGCTCGGCAACATCTGATTTGTCCCATGTTAAGTACCCCTAAAAACCGATCGTATTCCTCTGGAATGGTGGAGCTATCAATTACGAGAATAAGATGCCGAGTCCCCCCCCCCCCCAACTTTTATCTACACAGGTCTGGTCTGGTCTGGCACAGTCTCCCCTATTTCACTGCAACGAGAGTGAATCCCTTGACCATTTCCCCTAACATGCAGGTTAAATAAAAACCAACGGAAGGGACTGTTAGAAGAACATAGGTTGGCTCTCCGTAGGTTGGCTGTAAATTTATCTCTTCCGGTGGTCCTTTGCTTTGGAGCAACTGAAAAGCGATTTAGCCACAGAAATGCTTGCGAGGCCGTATGCGATTTTTCTAAAGGCAATAAATCGAATAGAATGTTAAGCTGAGGCACAAATTCACTTTATTTTGAACCATAATAACTTGTTCGTTTTTTGTATTACCTATATTTACTTTATTTCAAATCTATCATGTGCCAATTGTTTTTTTTTAAACATTATTTTTTAAATAATCCGGCTGGTGAAACAATTTCATCTCACAAATGAGGCACTGTCCGTTTAATGGCTAATCTCCCGTGGTGGATTGCGCCAGGACTCTGAGGAACAATCAACTAACCAACCACGGAGTTTAGCCGATAGTAGAACGTGCTTCGTCGCCAATGGCTTCAAAGTTTGCGATCCCTGTTCGCTTTAGCAAGTGTTGGTACTCGACGCTGAAATTTGTGATCAAAGACTGAATCGTTCCACATTTTATTTGGGCAATACTACGTGCTACACATATTTGCCAAGCCAATAGCACCGATAGCTTAGTGTTTGCGATACCGCAACTGTTGTCGCAATCACTATCCACCATTAGGAACATATTGGCTCGCGGCGGAAGTGCAAAGATGTCGGCAAGAATTTTAAGTGCCGTGGTCTGCGCAGCAGTATCTTTTTGTCTGGGCGTACGGTCGTCAGAAAACGTTATAAGCTGGGCGCGAATGTTATTAATGGCTCCACTCCTGGAGGAAACACAATCTGAGAGCAAGTTTTTTGAAGCATTCGCGCTACACGACGAATAAAGGAATGTACGTTGGCTAAAGAATTTGGAGTTGTGTGGTGCATCTTCCCAGCGTTGTCATTAGGTGATACCCTTCTGTCCGGTGGTTGGGTCCTTGTATACAAGTTTCGTCACTTTCTGTAGTTAGGCAACAAAGTCACCGCTTCCATGTATTAATTGGCACCCGTATCTACCAGAGTGGATACCAGGTGGTTGTCGAGAAGAACGGAGACACGGGTAGATACAAATTCTCGTCGATGGCGTACGTTGGCAAAAAGAAGTCGTGGGATGTCGGTGGGAAGTATGATGGAAGTTTGTAACGGTCGATACAGTGGCCTCACCCCCTGAGATCACTGTTCTTAGTTTCTCCGGCGCGGGCTCGGCTAGCGCTGGCCATGCGGCATGGAGAACCAAGAAGACTGCGAGCACGATTGGCGTCACTGAAGTGTTGCAGACTGCTGGCTTTCCAAGTACTCAGCGATAGCACGGGGCCGCTCACCATCTCTGGGTCGACGAGCATCAGGACGAAAGCCAAAAAGACCCTTGTGCTGGTGTGCACACTCACGGTAGACGTGACCTGGTTCATCGCAACGATAAAAAAGGCTGATTGTCGGGAGCACGCAATACGCTTCATTTCAGTACAGTCAGTGGAGTGTTCGCGTACTATGGTGGGCCTTAGTAGAACGGTGCCGCCTGCTGGGTGTACGGACGGGATGGATAGCCGACAGCTGGTGCAAGAGTACGTAATGCTTCCCTGTAGATTGACAACGGAGCTTCAGCTGGGCACAGAGCCATCGTGGGTTGTACCTCTTCGCGGATGACATCTGTTAGAGCAGCAACATGGGGCCGAGAAGACGCAGCCTGCAGCTTTTGTAGCTCCTCATGCACAATACTGCAACGAGCTCCGTGATATCTCCTATGGTCATGACGTAGGGTATTGCAAAGG